ATATATACATATATATGATTTTTAAATCTTATGCCTTAAATTATAACTAACTTTTGAAAGTAGCTTGTCTCATTTCACATAATTATATTTAGGTGGTCAGGCTCATTGAAACTCATTCGTTCAGAAAACAATTGAAGGTTAATGACCATGTCCTGTTTCCAAGACTCCAGAAGTCTTATAACCATGGATCACTAATTTTGTGATTGTCTTAGTAAGGTTTCTATTTAAGCTTTGATAATATTTGAGCACATACTGCTCTCTTATAAGATTTATGTATTTTGACATACGAATCAAAATTTTTTTTGTTCAAAGTTCCTGATAAAATTATGTATGTAGTATGTGGAAAATCTTAACTAGTTGGAACACTGACTCACTTGGTGACAACGTGTTGCCCAGTTACAAATTGTATGTTAAACCTGCATAGCAATCTGTTAATGGTGTTCTGAGTTGTTTATATTTGACAACATGGTCCTGTATGTAGAATCCCAGAGAATCCACAAGAAAGCTTCTAGAATAGAGGAATTTAGCAAAGTTGCAGGGTACAAGGATAATACACAAAAATAATTTGTTTCAGAGACAGGGCAAGATGCCAAAGTGAGCGGATGCTCCCATGTACTCCCCCAGCAACTAACTCACTGAACAACGAATAAAAACAAGCGCAGACTGAGATCTCAAAACTCCAGGCAGCGGTATTGGAGAGCTGGAGTGAGCCCAGAAGCAGGGGAGAGGAAGAACAGAGTTGCCCCAGAAGCGAGGAGATCCTACCTGCTAAGATGGGGAGCACTCGCTCATCGCATCCATCTTGGGACAGAGCTGGGTAACACTTCAATCACAGAGCACAGAAAAGGAGCTAATCTGAGGAAGCTCTATCGTGATTTTTTTTTTTTTAAGTCGGCACAAATTTGCCATGGGATTTCGCTGGTTGTGCAATTGGGAGGGGGTGAAGGTAGACTGGGGCACTGCGTGAGATTGCTGTTGAATCACAAAGAGGCCCAAGATAGGCACTAGGACTGGGAGGAACTGCAAGGGCAGCAGGGTGATAGGAATACTTCAGACTGACAGGGACAAAGGAAATGGCCCATAGCAGGACAGTGTGGGAGTGTCTGTGCAGGGGTGCCAGTGACGGAAAGACATAGAGAGGCCCACACCCTCACCACAGGAAAATTCAATCCCCACCACTTACGGCAGCATCTCTGAACAACTAACCACCCTCCTCCCACGTGTGTATTGAATTTCAGAGACCAAGCATACAGAACTGAACAAGCATGAAAAAAAAAAAAAAAAAACCCTAAGGATAACAGCGCCATCTAGTGATTCTCAGGAGAAGATATCAAGATAGCTGCCTCTGAGTCATGCTGACTCACAGCAAACCTGCAGGGCTTGGACGCTGCCCCATGGTGTTCCCAGGGCTGTGAGTCTTTGCAGAGGTGGTCTGCTGCATCTGTCTCCTGTGGAGTAGTTAGTGGGTACAGGCCCTGGCCTTTAGGTTGGCAGCTACCAAAATGGCCCAAGTTCAACTAAACTTAGAAAACACAAAATCACAAGGGAAGAAGGAACAATCAAAAGCAAAACATAAAGAAGAGTAAATCTCTCCTACGGGAGCCAGAATAATGAAAGAACTGATAATTTTCAGACTGTGGTGCTAAAGATGCTTAAAGAAAGCAAAAGGTACACAGGAAACAAATAGAAGAACAAAGTGAGAGACTTAACAAAGAAATTAAAAAGATCAACAACAACAAAAAACCCAAAGAGAATGACTGGAACTGAAGAATAAAACATCGGAGTTAAAACAAAACAAAACAAACAAAACCCAAGAGAAACACTCAACAATAGAGTTAAACAGACAGAAGGTAGGATAAGTGAACCGAAGACCAAATAACTGAATTTGTCAAGTCTCAAGGGAAACAAGAGAAAAGAACAAAGAAAAGCTAGCAATCTGTTAATGGTGTTCTGAGTTGTTTATTTTTGACAGCATGGTCCTGTATATAGAAAATCCCAAGGAATCCACAAGCAACCTTGTAGAATAGAGAAATTCAGCAAAGCTGCAGGGTACAAGGTCAACACACAATAGTCAGTTGGCTTTCTATACGCCAGCAAAGATAAATTTGAAAAGGAAATTAACAAAGCAATTCCATTTACAATAACAGCTAAAAAAATAAAATACCTAGGAAAAAATTTAACCAGGAAGATTAACAGACTCATGCATATAAAATACCTAGAACTGTACCGGGTGCTGTGGCTGAAAGTATCCTCAGTTTTGGGCTGGCTTCCTTCAGTGAAATTGTCCAAGATGTGTAGCCTAATTTGAATCCATTGGAAATTAATCTTAGTTATGATGCCCAGGCTCCAGGTGGAAGCAGGGCCTTTATCACATTCCCCAAAAACAAGCCCACCACACAAGTCAGAAATGAGCAGTACCATCCCGGCTGTTGTGGAGAGGTGTAGAGGGCTTTCTATGTCTAGGGCCAGCATTTTACCCCAAAATGCCTATGGCTTCTCTCCCCTGTCTTCCTCCTTATCCACTAGCCATCTGATCTTTCTCTTTCAAACCTCTCTCCTGGGCCAGCAGGCCCCTCCCACCCAGGCCACCCAATCCCAGACCTCTCCAACAACACTAGTTCCAAGTCCATGTGTGTTCTCGACTGTCCATCTCCAGTTCTTCATCTGTCTTAGTTACCTAGTGCTGCTGTAACAGAACTATCACAGTGCATGGTTTTAAAGAACAGAAATTTATTTTCTCACAGTTTAGGAGGTTAGAAGTCTGAATTCAGGGCACTGGCTCTAAAAGAAGGCTCTCTCTCTGTTGGATCTGGGGGAAGATCTTTGTCTCAGCTTCTGTAGTCCCTGTGTTCTTGGTGATCTCCACGTAGCATCAGTCTTTCCCCCACTTATGATTGCTTCTCTCTGTGTCTAATCTGCTCTTTATATATCTCAAAAGTTATCAGGTTTAAAACATACCCTCCACTGATATGACCTCAGTAACAAAACAAAGAAAACCGTATTCCTGACCGGGATTACATCCACAGGTATGGAGGTTAGGATTCCAGCACATATTTTGGTGCGGGGGGCACAATCTCATCCATAACACCGTCTCTCTTTCTTGTCTAAGGCAGAGCCTTTTAGCCCTGCCAGGCTTCTCCACCCGCATTACCATAAACTGTTCCAATTTACGACACTGAGGCTTTATGGCCAAATCCCTGCTAAGAGAAGCCTTGTCATAAGGCTCCTGGGGAAGGAAGAATAATAGTTATTTTTCCTGCACGTACAGGCACCTGACTCTATCTCACACAGAGAACCCATTGTGAAGGGGCAGGAGGGGGAAGAGGAGCCCCCAGGGTTCAGAAGAGGAAGCTGGGTGCAGGGGTGAGACAGTATGACCACTGCACTGGGGATGTGGCCTTTCCTCCCTCTGTTTCTTACCCCACTGACTCCTGCTGTTCTCCAGGGCTCTTCATCAGCCTCAGGGTCCCTTATCCTGACCTGAGATCTCTACCCTGACTGTGATCCACAGCTGACCTCAGGGTCCCTTATCCTGACCTGAGGTCTCTGCCCTGACTCTGATCCGCAGCCAACCTTAGGGTTTTCTCTACCCTGACTGTGATCCACGGCCAGCCTCAGGGTCCCTTATCCTGACCTGAGGTCTCTACGTGATCCGCAGCCAAGGCAATGCACAGACAGTGACACAGATCAAGGTTCTGGGAGCAGACTCACCTATGACTGCTCTCCTGGAAGCAGGAAACCTTCAGATTCTGGCTGCTCCCAAGTGGGTCTGTCTAAAGCTTCCCTTTCACTTTCACTTTCCTGATTCAAAGATCGGTTTTGTTCATGAAAAATTCCCGCCTGTGAAGCTCTGGGGGAGTGGCTATCACTCTGGGCCCCAGGGATGGACAGGATAGGTCAGGAAAGGAATTTATTCTACAGAGTGCCCCCTTGTGGGTATGGGCCCTAACCCTCCCTCTCTTGGGAAGGTGAGATAGTGCTTAAGAGAATATATCTCTATAAGAACATGTAAATACCATCTGCCAAGTGGAGGTGTGGAGCAAAGGGCAGAGAAGCACTCAAGAGTGCCCCACAGACAAAAGAGCTATGACAGGTACCTGCCTCTATAGAAACAGAGAAGCCCAGCATGAAGGACACCAGGGCAAGAGGACACTGGCAGCAGGAGGACCCATGCCTTATCCCTTCCTCTGTCACAGTTACACCCTGGACAGAGGGTGAGAACTCCCCACAGCCCTCTTGCCCCTGAGATGGAACAGCTTCAGGGACAACTTCACCATCGGAGTGTCCTGAGAGCTCTGAGGTCATTGGTGGTTTGGTGGTAGAAATCTTGCCCTCCATGCAGGAGACCTGGGCTCTATTCCTGGCCAATGCACCTCATGCACAGCCAACACTGCATGTTGCTGTGATGCTAAACAGGTTTCAGCAGAGCGTCCAGACTAGGACAAAAGGTCTGGTGATCTACTTCTGAAACTATGGATCACAATGGAGTATTTTCCAGTCCACAAGAGCAGCTAACAACAACAACATCTAGTCTGCTGGAAAGACACTGCTACTTCCCCACCAACATTCTTTTGCTCCTTTATTGCCACGAGGAGATCTCAAATCTGGTTATGGCAGCAAGGCCAGGTTGAAATGACCCATTTTCCAGCTTTCCATGCAGCTGGCAGGGACATGGCCTCCAGAAAGGCATTGGTAGAGCCTGACACTCTGCTCTGGGTCTACTGGTAGTCCCCAAACCACTGTGCACTGAGGGTGATGGCATAAACCATAGCCTGTCCACAAGACAGCTAGAAGGAAGGTCGGGGGGATGACACACCCAACCCTATCCTTCGAACTCAGAGTGAAAACTGAACAAAGTCAACACTGTTGAGTTGTCCACCCAAACTAATGTGAATGGCCAGCCTGGGAGGGAGGAGACCCACTTCCCCATCCCAGAGGCCAGGGTGTCAGAGATCTCAGGGTGGGGGTGGCGGTGGGAGGGTCTCCTTATTAATGGGCCCAAGTTTAGCCCAGAGATCTTCCCTATTTCCTGTGCAAGGAAGACCATGAACAGGGCAGGATAGTTTAGGAGTTGTCCAGACCAGGGGTGTCAAAGAGACAGAAGGAACTGCATTTGTTTCCTGTGTCTGCTGTAACACACATCCCACAAACTTGGTGGCTTAAAGCAACACAACTTTGTTCCCTCACAGTTGTGAAGGTCTGAAGTCCAAAGTCAGTATCACTGGGCTGAAATCAAGGTGTCGGCAGGACTGGGCTCACACGGAGCTCAGGAAAGGGTCAGTTCCTTGCCTCTTCCAACTTCTGGTGGAGGCCTGCATTCCCTTCACAAGTGCTGCATCACCCCAATCTTCAAGGCCACCATTTTCAGATCTCTCTCTGTTCTGTCTTCTCATCACCTTCCTCTCTGTGTCATATGTCAAATCTCCCTCCTCCTCCATTTTGTAAAGATACATATGATTGCTTTAGGGCCTACCTGGATAACCTAGGATAATAGCCCCATCTCAGATCCTTAATTTAGTCATATTTGATGTGATTTTGCCACACAAAGTAACATTCACAGGTTGCAGGGATTAGGATATGGATATCTTTGGGAGGACCATTTTTCAACCTATCAATGGTGCAGAGTTTGACTAATCTAATAAGATGACTAGAAGACCACAAAGTTTTTAGGAGAATTGTATTAGAAGAAACACTACCAGCTTGGACTATAAAAGGGACAGAAACAGAACAAAATAAAAAAAGAAGCTTTGCACCACCAGACTTCTACAGTCAGGAAACAGGCTGAGAAAAATATCTACAAACACGACCTACTTTTCATGAGAAAGGAAGGATGACTGTGGGGAAGGGGTGGGGGCAGAACAAGGAATTCTGAGGTGAAGTCTAGATCCGTGAGAATCATTCCTAGGCAGAAGCAGGGCTGAGTTCTAATCAAAGGATTTCCAGTCTTTGCCTGGCTGGATTTCAGAAAGCCTGTGGACCAGTGACACCTGTGTGCCTCCCATTTCCCTCCTTTTAAAAGGTGGCACCCTGTTCCAGTTCCACCATTTCATGTCAGGTGTGTAAAGGGCAAACAACTTGGCTCTTTACTTCAGAAACTTGCAGATCCAGAGAATTGTCCTTGAGTTCCTGTATCTAAGGAATTATCCTGAGGAGCTTCATGCACATGAGAGCTTCATTTCCAAGCTGAAGCTGTAGTGAGACGAGCCTTTAGAAGGTGTGAGGGGTTGAGCACACCTTTGCATGTGGAAGGTATAGAAATCATGGAGGCCAGAGGATGGACTGTGGAAACCAGCCTCCAAAATAAACCCCAACAACTCTGGCCTCCTGGTTGACACTTTACACCGTGCCCTTCCATATGGAATAGGGCTAACCTGTGTAAACAACAAGATATTGTGGAAATGACAGTGTGTGGCTTTCTAGGCTAGCTCATAAAATACATTATGGCTTTGCCTTATTCTGTCTTGGAAGGACCTACCTGCCATGTCATGAGGACACTCAGCAGACCTGTGGAGAGGTCCATGTGGCAAAGAACCAAGACCTCCTGCCAACAACCGGCACTAACTTGTCAGCCATGTGAGTGAGCCGCTGTGGCAACCCAGCCTCCAGAACCAGTTGGCCTTCAGTCAGCTGCAGCTCCACCTGACAGCTTGACTGTAGACTCCTGAGAGGCCTCGAGCCAGAATCACCCAGCTAACCTCCTACGAGAGCCCTCGTGGCACAGTGGTTAAGAGCTACGGCTGCTAACCAACATGTGATTCTGATTCGTTGCCTTACTTGGTAATTTATTGCCCAGTGACAGTGTTGCAGCTAACATCTAATAGCTCAAGATTAGATCAGAGGAGGATGCTATACATTCCTCGTCACAACTCTCATCTGGTTTGAAAATTTCTCATTTATTCACGTGTATACTTATCATCTCCTCCCACTAGAATGTCAGCTTCATGAGCACAGAAACCAGGTCTCTGTCTTGGGATTGCCAAGAGCAGAGGCAATGGTGGCACTATGACAAGGAGAGAAGAACTCAGAGGACCTGACCCTGAGCTTAAGATTCACAGGCCTACGGGGAGGGGACTCTCAGATACCCTTAGGGGATGGTTTGAAGAGGGTTAATTCCCACAACATACCATGTCTCTATAAATGATGGACCATTCTTTCAAGAAGTATTTTTTTAAGAACCTGTGACTGCCCAGAACTGTTTTAGACACTGGTTGCAACAGTGAACAAAACAAACAAAAATCATAATGATTTTTTGAAAACCGAAAAAACCCAAACTCTTTGCCGTCGAGTCGATTCCGACTCATAGAGACCCTATAGGACAAAGTAGAACCACCCCATAGGGTTTCCAAGGAGCAGCTGGTGGATTTGAACTGCCGACCTTTTGGTTAATGGCCAAGCTCTTAATCACTGTGCCACGAGGGCTCCAATTTTCTGAGAGTATTCAGCAAAAAGTTGTAAAATTGCAACCACGCACGGTATACAGATATAAATTCCAGGTAAAATAAAGATCCAAAATGTAAAAAATAAACACACCCACACATACACTTTAATAATGTTTGAAGAATATTATTGTAATCTTGGAGTGATAAAAGGTATCCTAAGCCAAACGCAAACTGAAAAGCCATGATTTTTAACTACACTGAAAATAAGACTTCTGTGCAACAGAAGTAATATATATTGTTAAAAAAAAAAAAGTAAACAAATTTACAGATAAGAAGACAAGGAGAAAATATCTGCAAAAACATTTGTCCTTTTATTATAGTAAGATTCCCACAATAACAAAATTAGACAAAGATCACAGGCAATCATCGAGGAGAAAATAGATGGCCAACAACTGTATGAAAAGATGCTCAACCCACATTGCTGTTAGTATGAGACAAGACTCTCAGGCCCTTTGTTAAGGTAAGATTCAGCAGAGTTGGGGCTTTCCATTTGTGTCCCCAGTTACTCGTCTTGGAGAAAGAGCCCAGGGCCAAGCATTCTCTTCTGATCTGATCTTGAGCCGTCAGACTTCCATTGCAACACTGTTACTAACCAACAAATTATCAAGTAAGGCAATGAATCAGAATCACATGTTCCGTTTTGTTTTGTTTTTCTGAAGGTTATTTTTACACGATGTGGTGACAATTTCTAAAGCCTTCTAAGTCTTACAAGATTCCTTTTTATATTAGCCTTTAATGATGGATTTCCGGCAGTAGATAATAGCAAACACTTCTATAATGCTTACTGCAGACTGGGCACTGTTTATAGCAATATACATTAAAAAAAAAAAAAAAAACCAGTTGCCATTCAGTTGACTCTGACTTGTGGCGTGTTTCAGAGTAAGAAATGCACTCCATAGGATTTTCAATGGC